TTCTAATCTACAAGCCTATACATATACATTCTTCAATCTAACTTTGCACTTATGTCTTATTCTATATGTATCTACCTCTATTATTCTATAATTCTCTTTCATTTTCTTATTATTTCCTCTGTTATCTCTCACATCTTTTTCAATTCATAATAATCTTTCATCTCTCTATTTCCTCTCCTCTCTATTACTCTATCCCTTATAATAACTAATATTTATATATATATATATACATATATATATATATAGTATTAATATATATATAGTTATATTATATATATATATATATATATATATATATATATATATATATATGTATTTATACATATTCATAAAAGCACTGTACTAGCATCCCACGGTCCCCGAACCCAAAATCAATATATATTGTTTCTACCTATCGATTTGTTCATTGTGCCATAATCGTGTCCAAAAATTTCCTTTTGGGTGCCAATAATTTTGATAAATATATAGCTGACTCTCTCTTTTCTTATCCTACATTATTCTACATGTCCTTTGTATCCTTTTTTATTACTAAATTATTAAGGGATGGAAACATATGATAGCATATACCTTGGAGGCGTCTTTGTTAATTTTCGGGTCTATACTTTGAATTACTTCTGTGGAATAATGGTAAATAGATTAATTTTATCTCGTACTGAATGCAACGGATACTTTTATATCACTTTTATAAGGATGTCTGAATCTTTTTTTAGTGTATGTGTAAAAGTGATTGAACATTATAAGTAAAAGTAACGTGTTATCTTTAACTTACTGTGACCTCAGAAGAAGATGAAAATATAAAATCGTCTTTTTTTTATATATAACATCTGTGTTGCTATCTCAGAGCTTGAATATTCTCCGAGTCAATAAAATAGGATAGATTTTACATGTTTTGAAAATGAGATAAACAAATATAACCTGTTATTCGTTTCTTTGTAAAAATCATCCTGTGAAAGCCGATATTCATGTATACGTGTTCCCAAATCTGCTGTCTGGAAAGGGAGGGAAAAAAAAGAAAGAAAGAAAAAAAAAAGTGCGGGATAAAGTATATTTATTTTCATCGACAGACGAGGCACGGTTTGCATATTTACATTCAGATCAAAAGGAATGCAAATTTCTTCGTGAAAAATGTTGACATATCCTATCGGTGTGCTTGTAAGTGGGTGTTCCTAGTCCGGCCCGCACGTCACCACTACCAACACTTACAAGCGGCCGGCATAATATGGAGTTTCCATTCTCCTCATTCCTTGTCAATCAATGGACCCGCTCTATGATTGGCCGCTAGTCAGTCAAGGGGGCCGTGTTACCGCTCTCATTGGCCGGCCTCCCGCGGGGGCGTGGCTCATGGGCGGGCTTATCGACCACTCACAAGTGGTACTCTCCTCGGTCTCCGCCGCTGTTGCCAAAGATTTCGAATCCGCCCAATCTATCACTATAAATATCAATACACCGCTACGATGAACTATGCACTATCCGATCATCACTAAAACAATAAAAATAACACAGTACCATACCCAAAAAAAAGTAGTCAAGACCTTAGATAAAAGAAAATAATAATTCCCCTGGCGGCATCTGGCATCGAGCGCCGTCCCCAGTGCGCAGATGCGACCAAGGAAATCAGGAGCTGTCGCAAACTGCCATTTTCTCGGTGAACTTACATGCTGTTTAGCATACGCGGCATACACACCCCACTGTGATCTCGCCTCCACTTGGACATTGGACTAGACCTGTGATAGTTAAACCTGTTAATTAGTGGCTCAGTGGAAAGAAAAGCTCACACAAGCGAGGTAATTATTGAAAAAAATAGTGTTCTTAAATCTCAGGCTTTCGGCTCGCTGCGTCGAACGTCAATTTCTCGCAAACATTATATCGAAAACAAAGGTAAGTTATGCTTTTTTGAAATTGGGTCCGACATATTTTTCCCCCTTTTTTTTAAACTTTATTTCGAGAATTGTGACTTTTTTTTGTGATTGTTTTTGGAGACCTTCCTTCTGGTGATCTCAAAAGTGGCTTAGAAATAGAGGTAAAGAACAGAATATTTCGAGCAGAGGACGTGAAAAATAAACCAATTTACGATGATAGATTTATTGATTATATGACACGAAGGGATGTCTGGTGCGCTACGCATATTTCGCAAAAAATGAGTATTATTCCTATATTCTATCTATTATTTATGTTGTTTGATCAGTTTAAAAATCTATATCATCTAGTTTTCAAAATTTGAAGAATAGGAATTCGAAACATGATAAACTATAAAGAAATAAATGAGTTGTGATTATACACATGAAGCAATCAATTATATTCGTATGTAGATATTTATAATTGTATATGGGTTTGTTCAGTATATAATATATACAGTATACTTGTACATGTATATATAATATATATATATATATATATATATATATATATAATATATATATATATATATAAATATATATATATATGTATATGTTGTATGTATGTATATGTATTTAAAGTATGTGTTGTTTATATTTATTTATCTATATGTCATAAAATAACATGTATATATGTAGCATATCTAATGATATTATGACATATAGAACACAAAGCAATGCGAACTTATAAAATGTGTTTAGATAGATAGATTCAGAATTATGCGCGTTTTCTGTACTGAATGTCAAAAATTAGTAAAGTACGTTAGATAGAATCAACTCAAAATAATAAGTAAAATATGCGCACTATGTTATTAGAGAAAAAAATATTATATTATATATTTTTTTTTACTGAGAAGGTGTAGTTTTTATAAAAAAGTCTCTAATATAGGAAGTCTGCGCACATATTTTCCCTTCAGTGTTGTAGAATCATATTTGTCATATTTTGATGGTTCAGTTATTAGGCTGAGGAGTAATGTTTTCGCTGCGCTTGTTTCTCACTCTCTAGTTCAGTCAACAGTTAATGTTCTCATGTTCCGGCCGCCGCAGCAGTCGGCGTGGGCGTGGGAGGAGGCACAGCGGCGGCGGCGGCGTGAGGGCATGGGCCCCCCCGGTGATCGTGCCCTCCGCCCTCCCTCCCGCCATGATGGACCGAGGCACCGTGCATGTGTCGGCGCCCTCCCTGCACGCCCACGCCCACATGACGGCCCTGACGGCGCCCTCGCTGCCCCAGCGCTCGCCCTTCGCGATCCAGGAGCTGCTGGGCCTCGGCTCGCAGTCGGACTCCCCGCCCGCGCCGCCCGCGTCCTCGTCCTTCGGCGCCGGGGGGTCCCTGGGGGCGGCGCCCCACCTGCTCTACTCCCGCCACGCCGCCCTCGCCGCCCACCAGCAGCACTCCCTCTTCCCCGACTCCCGCCATGTGTGGATGAACCATGCCCTTCTGCCCGGCATGGGCATGGGCGGCCTGGGGGCGCCTGTCACGCCCGTCACCGTCAGTAGCGGGATGCCCTCCATGCTGGGCCTCAGACACGACGCCCACGCGCCCCCGCCCGACGCCCACAGTCCAGGTAAGCCATACCATCTGCAGGAAAAGATACCTTTTAGTGCACAGTCATCCCCGCACGAGGCGGCGCGAGAGGCGTCGGCCGGCGGAGGGCAGGGCACGCGCCGCCCGCCCGCAGCCCACCGATAG